AGCAACTGATAGCACACGCTAACTGAAAGGTAAAAGAAAAAGTAGCTTTTGAAGAGGAACTCCTAACTGGTTTGCGTAGCATAGTGATAAGGCTATGGTTTGATAATGGTCTGATAATAACGCGTTGTCTGAGGAGCGATGGCTCAAGACTCAGCAGAACTGCCAAGAAGGTAAAAAGGAAAGAAAAGAGGAAAGAAAAAAGAGGAGAAGTCATTGGGAACAAATGGGAGAAGGAAGAAGAACGTGAGAAAGGAATGGAGACGAAAAAGCCGCTTTCAATCAATTCCTCTTTTATTGAAGCAGTAAGTACTTATTAGTAATGTATATATGCTAAACCCTATAATGGAATAAGTCATTGTCTTAAAAACAATGGGGTACATACATAATTAATGGTATTGAATGCATAATTCATGTATGGGGTTATATGGTACTCTTTCCCCAATTTTTCGTATTTTTTTCTTGGGAGTCAAGTGATCTGGCCATCAAGAGAAGATGTCAATAGCTATATGCCAGAAGGTTTCAAAAGGCTTTATGCAAAAACGCGTGTTATATTAGATTGTACTGAGATTTTGGTGCAAACACCAACCTCACTGCTACTTCAGTCACAACTTTATTCTACTTATAAAAGTAATACTACACTAAAAGGTTTAATAAGTATTACCCCTTATGGAGTTATTAGTTTTGTTTCTAGCCTCAACACTGGAGGAATAAGTGGTAAGGGAATCACAAGGTGCAGTGGAATTCTAGATTTGTTAGAGCCTGGGGACTCGGTCATGGCCGAAAAATGGTTTGACATTGAAGATTTGCTGAGGGAGAAGGGGGTGGAGCTAAATATCCCTCCGTTTCTAGAAAGTCTGGAACAATTCTCTTCCCAGGATGTTCAGAAAACAAGGACAACAGCAAGTTTGAGAATACATGTTGAAAGAGCAATAAGGAGGGTCAAAGGATACCACTTTTTTGATTCTGATGTGCCATCGTCTACATTAGGCTCAGTCAATCAGTCATAGACTATGGCCTGCCTCCTTACAAATTTCCAGGGCCCACTAATCTTATCTAATAGTAACAATGAGCCATAATGAAGTTATTGTGTTATTTATATCTTATTGGGAATGTTTATACTTTACCTAAACAAAAAAATAATGGTCATTGAACTGAGTGGAGTGCAACTTGATCTCATATCAAACACAAGTCAACAAAATAAAATTATGGCGTAGTAGGAGTGTGATATGAAATCAAAAATTAGATATCAGACTGAAATTGTACGACACTGAACATTTTCTGGATTTATGTAAATGAAGCTTCACTTTGTTCACTTTAGAGAGTAGTAGCAATGTCAAACATAGGAAATAAAATTTGAAAAATATTTCATTTTGTGTACATTATTTGCTCTAATCTGATTGGCAAACTGTATACAATGCTGCAATATGATTGGTCATCTAAATGTAGTGTTGAATTTTGTTTTGCTAACAAAAAGATGCGATTCAGACTGAAAATAGTGGGATTCGTGCTCGAATCATACAATTTGAACCAATCGAATTATAGGATTTGATGGTGTTTTTAAATTGGATATAATAAATTGGAATATCTGGGAAGTATAAAGTACAGAGCAACCTGTGTTTTGTTTGAGAAGTC